TCAGCCACCCAGCACATGTGAGATGGTTTGCTTTCAGAATTTTCTTTGAGCTTGCCACCTGACCAAACAGTGTTGCCACTATCATCTGTGAAGCATTAACAGCCAGAAAATGGTGCTGGGGCCAACTGGCCCATGTCAGTACAGACTCTTCTTTGAAGATTAAAGTGAGGACACTATGCTACTAATTCAAATAATTATGAGTCTCTTTTCTTTTCATTTGATTTTGGTATTTCACTGTCACTTTAAATAAAAAAAAAAGACATGTTGAGAAATGTGGGGAAATGGGCATACTTTCTCTTGATTTTCTGGTGAATTATTTTCTCTATGTTAAGAGAAAGTCAAAAAGCTTTAAAACAAAAATAAAGCTAATTTTAGGGAGAAAAAGGAGAAGTTATGGAACATGGGTCAATATTTTTGTTTTAAAGAAAAGAATCCCCTGGAATTTTATAAAAGCAAAGAATACAAACACCATCCTTGTGTTTATATTATAAAGCAAGCAATTTAAAACATTCAATATGTATTTCCAGCAGTTTCCTTCTTTTTAATCTTGCATTGCAACCAAAGAACGCTAATGGTTACCAAATTGCTTTTTGGCCGAGCTGCTTAACCCTTGAGAAAAAGAAAATGAATAAAGGGGAAAAAGGAACGTTGCAGGGTGTGATTGCAGCATATGATAGCTGTGAACCCCCAACCTAAGCAGATGGCGACTGATCTGAGGATTGCAGTAAGAGATCACCAAGAGCATTCCTCTGCTTTCGGGGTATGTACATTACATGGCAATGAGCTATGGTTTCCATGGCTCCTAATAGACAGCCACCATCTTTGGTAAGAGAGAAGTGAGCTCACAGATCACATCCTAACTTACCCTTGAGCTGTTTAGACTCTTCCTCTGTGTGCCCCAGGGTGGTTTTCTTGTTTCAATCTGAGTTGGTCATCTCAGCAACCAAGCATTTTGTCCCAAGAAGCAGTCTTTTCCTATGCTCTGTAAACAAGCCATGGGCTATCTTGCTGAGTAGCGCGTGACATGGAGGAGCATGGCTGTCCTCCTTGTCATGAGCAGTGATCAATCAGTCTTCCCCACCTGCCCTGAGCTGCTCACGCTGAGTAACTTGGATGCTTGTGACTTTTGGCACATCCCTGAGTGGTAGTGGTTCATTCCAGTTCCTTTGTGAAGAGTGGCATCCCAAAGCTTAGATAATGACTCCGTAACTGGAGAGAAGGTAGCGTCATGTATGGTGGATGGTTTTTTTTCTTGCTTCTTTATAGGAAACATATGGCAATGTTTATATATGAGTATAAAACAATAGTGCACTGATATCAAGTTAGCAACAGCTAATGGAGCCATACAGGAATGGAAATCAAACATTTCTGTCTACACCAGGATTCCAGTCTGCTGGTGTCTCATCATGTCCTGTTTTATTTGGCTTGAAGGGGGTTTTGTTATTTTAGGCTTTGATTCCTAGTTGGAAGGACATTGTGTAGGGAGATGTTTTTATTTGTGCTTTCACTCCTCTCTGTGCTCAATTAAATTACTTTATTAGCATAAATAATAAATTCTGTGTGAGTAGATTTTGTATTACGATCGCATGAAAATTAAAATCTACTCATTTGTTTGACTGTACTCTTTGTATGTCTGACTTAAAGACTTTGTGGCTGGAAAATCCGAAGTGGCCATCTGGAGATGGGACACAAACAATGAAAGGCAGAGTCAGGCTGTACTCAGACCACACTTTTCTCCATGGCCAGCTCAGGAGCCATGAGGAAGCTTGGTAACCTGACTCAGCCTCAAAGGCTTGTAGGCACTGCTATGAAAACTGTACTAGCTTATCTTAGCAGCCCATGGGATGAGCTGTAATACATTTCACACATAAAGCCTGGCTTGGAGGAAGTGCTGCAGACCCACTTCCTGTCATCACAATCAGCAAACAGGACAGTTTTCCTTGACAATCTGAAATGCTCAGCGCTGAAATGAGAAGGACCAGTAAAGCCAGTGGTGCTGCCCTTTATAAATGCCCCATATACCGGAGCCCAACTGCAGCTTCTCCAGTCTCCATGGGCGAGGTATGATTTACCATCTCCATTGCATGGGAGAATAAACTTTACATTAAATGAGAAAGGCACACAGCTAAAGATGGGTAAGCAGACTGGGTAATTCCAAAGCCTAGGCTCTTCATCTCTGCACTCATAGCCTGTGGCACCTCTAGAAGCTCCCTTTGTTTACACTATGTTGTTTTTTTTGAGTGCCCATCAATATCCTGTCATTACACAGAGATATTGCAAAGTCCCTGTCTCAGGGACTTCTATTCTTTTGTAATCCAAGAAACCGGGAAAGCACTTACGAGAAAGCACATCTCTTATGTGTTACAAAGCCCGGGTAACTTAGATTCATGCAACCACTTTTACTTTGGTTTAAAAGAGGCTACAAGCTCATACTCAAACTTAGGTGAGAACACTTGTCACACCCAACAAACAGACAGACAGAAGGCAGGGCTCAAGGTGTGTTGACACGAGGAGAGAAGGAGTGGCTAGTCATTCTCCTTGGTGGTCAGGACTGCCACTTGCTGAATAAGGAAGGAGATATTACGATCCCAAGGTCACGTCTACTGCACCAGGCTTCTCTTTTGTGTCAGGTGTGACCACAAACCACCAACTAGCTCTACTCTTAACCTAAGCCCTTCATAGTTAGGAGAGCTTCACCTGCCTGCCTTACTGAAAACACGTGATCTGCCTGCAACTTGGAAACCTTCACATACAAGATTGCCCAATTCTATTTTCATTTACAAGATACATTATCATTCTACTTTTCTCCTTCCTGCAGTGTTTGGGGTAGAGGTAGAACAACAGAGAAAAAAAATTAAGATACCAGGTTACATGTCTACCTGTTAAACTTGCAGGAATATTCGATTAGATGGGCCCTTAATATAGGGTATAAATGTAGATTATGTTACATATTATTAATTCAAATGATGGTGCCATAAGGCAGTATCTACAGCTGAGAGCAACGATAGCTGGGTTTATTATAAGTATCTTGTACCTTTCACTGAAAATTAAATGAAGACACATCTATAAGAAGGATCCTGCCTTGTTAACCTCCGTTTTTTTTTAATTGTACTATTTTAGAATTTTGTGCAACATACGGCGATCATATTCTCCTCTCCCCCAACTCTTCTCAGATCCATCACCCCTAACTTTGTGTCTTCTGTTTCTCTTCATCTTCCCATCCATCCTTGAATGTGTAGTCTTCCACAGGAGCATGGGCTATACTCTTGATGAGGGATGTTCTTCTATATGCATATGTCTCTTATTGGTTGATAAATAAAAGACTGATTGGCCAGTGGCCACGCAGGAGTATAGGTGGGGTGACCAGACGAGGAGAATTCTGGGGAGAGGACACATAGAGGAGCTACCAGAGGGACACAGTGTAGCTACCAGGAAGATAGAATGCCCAGTAAGCCAAGACCACATGGAAATACTTAGATTAATAGAAATGGGTTAATAATTAAGAGAGATCTAGTCAATAAGAAGCATGAGCCATCGACCAAACAGTTTATAATTAATATAAGCCTCTGTGTGTCTACTTGGAACCAAATGGCTGTGGGACCAAGCGGAATAGGAACCTCTGTCTACAGTCCGTCTTCCAGCAGCTAACAGTTGCCAATCACTCCAAGGGTAGGGGTAGAATTTTGTGCCTAACTGCCTTATCTATGCTGAGCTTTGGTCTGAACTGGGCTTGCAAGAGGCTTGTGGGTGCTGTCATATCTACTGTGAGTTTCTAGGCACTGCTACCCTGCTATGTCCAGGAGGCACTGTTCCCTTCCAGTCAATCACCACCTCTGGCGCTCATAGTTTCTCTCCCCCTTCTTTGGCCATTGCCCCTGAGTTTTGGGAGGATGATTTGTGGTGAATTCAATTTAGGGCTGAGAATTCTGAAATATTTTATCTTCTGCTCCTGGCCTGCAGTTGCTCTCTGTGTTAATCACCATCTAGCACCAATAGAAGCTTCTTTAGTGAAGGGTGAAATATGCATTAATCTATGTGTATAACAAGAAGCCATTAGAAGTCTGATGGGGGAAGTCCTTCTGTGTACATGTTAATAAAGCACTGTTGGCCAATAGATAAGCAAGATAGGTGGGACTAGGAGTCGAGGAGGATTCTGAGAAACAGAGGCACAGTCAGTCACGATGTAGGACACCAGAGGAGTAAGAGATCTGGACCCTTTCTCTAGTAACACGAGACCACATGGAAATACTCAGATTAGCAGTTATGGGTTATAAATTAAAGTCAGAGCCGGCTGATAAGAAACCATAGCAAGCGGCCAACAGCTTCAAAATTAACATAGTGTTTCGTGTGTTATCTGGGGAGTCAGACAGTGGCGGGACTCAGACAGCTGGTGGGAAGAATGCATGTTACAGAAGTCAGCCTAATACTGTGTTAACTTAGCAGCAGAATAGCGCTAGTTTCTTGCCTAGGAGCTGTGACTTGTCCAGCCATAGGTTCTTGGCCTGGTAATGTCACTAAACATGGGTTTCATACTCTGGAGCAGGACTTAAATCCAGTCAGAGAGTGGCTGGTTATTCTCTCGACATTGTGTCACAATTGCACCAGTGGGCGTGTCTTGCTAGCACGACTATTATTTAGCTCACAAGGTATGTAGCTGGGTAAGATTGATTACTCTTCCTGCAGAGTACAGAGCACACTCTAGTACAATAGTGCCTAAAGCAAAGTAATTCAAAACTATCATTGCTATCAAAATAATTGTGTAATTTTATTATATTCCCTCAATTACATTTTTTTTGTAACTTTCCAGTCAACTCTTAGGTATGGCAAACCCCAGGATGGGAAATTGTACATCTGAGAACCATTGGAAAATACACAGAACAGGTATTGATCAGGGCAGAGCAATATTATTTTGACAGCAATCTGTGAGGAGGTGAATTATTTGATAACCCAGAAGCAGCATATGGGAATCAAACATTTATCTCTTTTTAAATTTTATTTAGGCAAATATATCCGACTACAGTCTGGTGATGGAGTCTGACTCAGGGACCTTCTTACCCACTGGGCTGCAGTTCACCGGCAGTGACAGAGCCAGAGCTATCATGAAGGAGGTCATGAATCTGCTGCAGCCCCTCAATGTCACCAACCTCTTCAGCGATGGAGAAGGGACAGATATTGACTTCTGGATTCAAGCTGGAGTGCCTGGTAAGACCAAAAGTGAAGATGCTGTTCCAGTATGGTCACAGTGGTTACCGGCAGACCATACATGGACGCCCCATGTCCTCGTCACTCAGGTAGACTCTGATTATTTTCCCAATTGGGGTGACAATGCATTGCTTCTCCCCTGCTCTCCACTCTCTAAGATCTGCAGGGAATGGTTCTAGAAGTTAAGCCTTCAAATCTGCTGTTGACTTTGATTTGTTATAGAAGATATGCTTGGTGATTTTTCACCACCAAACTTCGAGAAATGAAGCAGAAAGCAGTTGCTGCTGCCAACTCCCTTCTATCCTAGCCTCTACTAGGAGGGAACCTTCACTCACTCTTATATTGATGTTCCCATACACTGTTGTATCTGAGCTTTTACAGTGAGAGATTCATTCTCTGAGGACGGTTTTGTTCCTGATATTTGTGTTTGTCCTTGATGCTGCCGGTAAAAGATTGGAGATAGATAGCGTTGACAGTTGACAAGATGGCTCAGTGGGAAAAGTCACCTGCCATCAGAATAAGTTTGATTGCCAGGACCCAGGCAGTGGAAGGAGAGAACCAACTCTCCTAAGTTGTCCTCTGACACTGACAGGAACACTGTGACACATGCATGAACACACACACACACACACACACACACACACACACACACACACACACAGGAAAATACCAGAGATAGGACGTAAACTGACTTCCCCTGAACAGAAGTCCTAAGCCAGGAACAGGAATGAAATCATGAAATGCAAATACACCTAGGAGTTATAGGAACAGAGAGGGGAGCAGATTTCAAGGACATAAATTTGTGCTGCTTCACAAATTTGCCCAAGACCAGTCATGCAAAGAATTATTGGCATTGTTTATGAGCCTACATTGCGCCTCCAATACCATTACAGCCGTAATCAAGAAGACTATCCAGAGATCCATCTGCAAATTGTTCTGCGTTTGTGATATATAAACAGGAAGCCTAGCCTTTGAGCTATCTAACATTACTGTTTGCAGAACCCCCACATGTGGTCTGTACAAAAGCAGGCTCTCCAGGTCTACCTCTGTCACCGTGTTTTCTGCTTACAAAACAGATTTCACCAACAGCAACGCAATTTACATTTTGAAGAAAACCCATTCTTGAGATACTGTGGGTTTTAAAGAAATATTTTAGGTTTGGAAATTTATACAAATATCCACAGCTAAGAATGAGAAAGTCATTCCTTTGTTGTAACAGGAGCTTCCAATTCTGTCCATTTGTCCTGAGCATATTTTAACAAAAACTCGAATTTCTCTGAAATCTGTATCTCCATTTAGTATGGTGCACAAATCCTTGACATATCCAAAACATTACACATATGATCTGTGGATATAAAGTATAGGGACAAAAACCTTCGCCTGAATGGTACAGGGTCATGTGATCGAATTTTACATTTTCTTGGTGAGCCTTTAGTTGAGAGTCACCAGTCAGCTTCTGTGAGGAAAAGGCTAGTGGGTCAGAGTAAATTCAGCTAGAGACTAACCAGGGGGAGGAGCTAAAATCTACAGCAGAATTGAGAGGAAAAAACACCTTGTTTTGCTGCATTTGAACACAAGAGCCCCTCACCTTCTTCCTTCACACGTCTACGTTGCACAGGACTTGGTCTGTGTGAAATGAGAAGCTAGATAGATTACTGTCATATAAGGTAATGAAGTACCATCCCTCTTGGCCTCAGCAAAGTCAGATTTGATTTTTCACAAAGCAGAGTGGAATGAGACATTTGAGGCTGGTTTGGTTGCAGAATCAGTGAGCTATGCTTCACCAAGCTTCCACCATCCATGAGGCCTTCTGTACCATGAATAAATAAATGACCCAGAGACTGATATTGGGGTTCAGACTTCAAGCTGAAGATCAGAAAAGCAAAGCAGCTGGCTGCTAGTTTCTTACCTCTACCTCAGGCTGAATGGGCTGATCCACCTCAGGCTAAATAGGCTGATCCTGTCTTCTTGAGCTCTCACCAAGCCTCAGAATCTTGCCTCTCCTCCAGTGTGGTGGAGAATGAATGCTTGATACTGAGACCTTTCTTCTGTCTGACATACTTCCCTAATATTGGGATTGAAGTGTGAGCTATGATTCTCTTTTAGACTGATTCATTTTTGTACAGATATGGGCGGCCTTGGACCCTCAGAGATCCGTCTACCTCTTAATCCTGAGTCTAGGATTAAAGATGTGTACCAACACTTCCTAGCTTCTGGCGGCTGGGATTAAAGGTGTGTATCACCACTGTCTGGTCTCTACAGCTTGAGGCTGACTTTGCTTTTCTGAATCTTCAGGCAAGCTTTAATAAATCATAAATAATATATCACCACAGCTCCCTATCAAGCCTCTTGTAAGATACATTAAAGAATCTGAGACTATCCTTCGGGAGTTGGTACAATTATCCTTATCTTTAAGATGAGTAAATAGACTCAAACTGCTTACATGACTTCCATAAGCCAAAGTCACCTTGAGACCAGGCCATTTTGATGTCGAGGCTCCTATCCTTTTCCCCACACCATGCAGCAATACAGAAGAGTCTGGAATGCTGAGATGGTCTCCCCAGTGTTGGGCAGTGTCTAAAATGTTTGTCTTATAATCTTTTGCTTGTGCAAAGGACTTCAGCTTATTACTGCCTGGAATAATTTACTATTGGGAGAAAGGAGTTTGTTATTGTAAATAAACTGCTTATTTCTCCTCACATCCCTTGTTCTCCTCCCCTCTCCTCCAGGTCAGCAGGTTTTCCGTAGAGTCAGGGTTTCATTTTGGTTGACTTGGAATGCTTTCTTGTATTCTTTGGTGCCCCTTTGCAGTATTGTGAAATGGAAGCAAAGGGCTGATACCTGTCCATTGCTACCATGAAGCTATCTTTAAAACAAATACTATTACTTCTCTGTGTGTGTGTGTGTATGTGTGTGTGAGAGTGCACACACACACACACACACACACACACACACACACTGCGTGCATGCTCAATTCAGTTTTCCAGCCACACCAAGCATCTTAGTCCTTTACATGGTCCATCCCACCCTCCTCAGCATGCCGTGGTCATTCAAAGTAGCATATCTCCCACATTGTACAGTCATGGACAAGAGACTCTCTATAATTTATATCCCTTCTCCAGAGTGTGGAACTCTTTCAAGAATTAATAAACCAGGCTTCCTTCCATCTCACTGATGAAAAAAAACAATGGGATCTCTGTCTGGCTAAGCTGTGTCCTCCTAATGAAGTAGAACTGTCATGATGGGTGACCATTGATCAAATATTACTTCCTGGATTAAGAGGGATCCATTTTGGTATTTGAAAAGCACTGCTTCCTGATAGAGGAGGGGATTTTTAAGGAAGATGAGGACTTTCATTGAGCAAACAGTTAAAAGTAGCTGTGATATCTGGTCATCCCCTCCTCAGGTGAAATCCTTTAGTTTTTCTCCAGTCTCCTGCTGTTGTGCATAACTGAAGTGTCTACTTAGCCTGGAATGTAAAGCCCTCCTTGTCCCACCCCTTGTCTTGTGTGGCCTCTCCATGCTTTCCTGTGTACTTCCTAGGTGTCCAGTCAAACTGGAATTCCTGGAACCGCCTCCTGTACCCAAACTTCTGTGTTCCCCGGACCTCCCCTATTGTTGTGTCAACAGTTAATTCCATGGTTCAGATCTTGACACCTGTTCCCCCCTCTCCGCTTCAGGCTCTCTCTCATCTCCTGCAGCTCGGGCAGTTATCACTGGAGCATGTTCACCAAACCAAGCTCTCGTCTTACGGTGCTTACTCTGCTTTTATAATTGTGAGCTTCTGGGAGGGCCTCAGAACTCCCATGTCTGAGGGGAAGTATCAGCCCCCTCGATAACGTGTCCATGAGTCTAGTACTGAATAAATTTGGTCAATAAATAAGGTAACGTTCTGTGGGAATAATATCTGGCCATCACTATGAGAGGAGTCTATTAATTACAATGCACTACCCATGTCAGTGACAACATGGCCCCATCGCGTGGGCCTCCTTCATTACACATTGCGTAAACAATTCCTACATTAGTTTCTCTCATCTTTGTCCAGGCTCCATTGATATACAAAATATACATATTATTCAGAACTTCGCAAACGTTTAGTCTTGCTTATTACTGTCTGGTGTCTCACACGGCATCAACAGAACTAAATTGAAAGCTTTCTATGATGACATTTCCAAATGCTTTTCTTCTAAACTGTTCTAAGAAAACAGAAGGACACAAGAAGCTATGCTCACGTAAAAAGTACAAGGTTCATTCTCTGCATCAAGGATACATGTTTTCTTATCACCAGTTAGAATATGGCACCCCAACAGTTCTGTGTCTAACTGTCCCTAAACGGGAGATTTCCTCCTGTGGTTAAAAACACTCTGGTCGCCGGGCGGTGGTGGCGCATGCCTTTAATCCCAGCACTTGGGAGGCAGAGGCAGGCGGATCTCTGTGAGTTCGAGGCCAGGCTGGACTGACAGCCTCCAAAACAATACAGAGAAACCCTGTCTTGTAAAAACAAAAAACAAAACAAAACAAAACAAAACAAACAAACAAAAAAACCCACTCTGGTCAGTAGTATTCAAAGAGGTCAGTGTTCCAAGCTAAGGGGGTTTTCCTCTCTCTGAGAACATTAGAAGGGAGCTCTCTGGTTTGTGGCAGGCATTCTCAGTCCCTTGGGTAAGAGCTGTGGGAAGTTTATCGAGTCAGTGTGCCTTAAGTAGTTAGCATAAGCCAGGTGCTGCCTACGCTGAAGATAGACAGCCAGATCTGTTCCTTTGATGATTGAACTAAGGGAGTGGCACTGGGAGGGAATAGACTGTTATAAAGAACTAAACCAAAACAAGTAAAAGACAAAGATATTGGACAGCAGTAGGGTTAAACATAATTTTAGTTGGTGGCTGCCTTTTACCCCCTTGTCTTGGATGAGTCAGAACTCTTTTTTTTTTTGGTTTTTACGAGACAGGGTTTCTCTGTATTGTTTCGGAGGCTGTCGGTCCATCCTGGCCTCGAACGCA